ATATATCCACTCAGAAGTGAAGGAAAGTAGTCCGGTTTTGTATTTCAAGCACGAGGGACTTTATAATGTATCAAATTAGCTAGAAAACTAAACCTTAAGTGCAATTTTACTTCCAACATGTCGTAAGACCCTCGGTACGTTGCGTAGCAACTGTATGAAACAAAAGAATAAATTGAAGCCTTGTTTTCTATTACTTTTCTAACGACATATTATAAGGAACATTTAGGATATCTTGAAATAATTGGCACCAGATCTCGAGACGTTGTTGTTAATAATAATAATAAATGTGCTTAGTACTTTAGCTGCATAAGTGCTGAAATTTATTTTATTTACATTCCGAAGAAGGTCGTGCTTGGTTGACATCTGAGGAAATCAAAGGTAATGGGGGCAGAGCTCTTGTACTATCTGTTCAGAAGCTGGTATATATATACCATCTCTTAAAGATAAAATTAATGAACCTAATTTTGCATAAGTGTTTTTTTTTATATTTGGAAATCTGTGTCTATTATTCTGTTTATTGGCCAGTTATTTGTTTTTAAACGATAAAATTAGTTTTGTTTTCAAATTAGGTTATTAGGAGGATGCATGTTTTTTTTAAAGGTTTCTGTGGAATTAAGTAGTTGCAGTGTGAACGTGTTTTGGTTTTATTAAAGAAAATAATATTTCGATTGTTTTCTTGTATTGTATACAAATCGATTTTATTTGTTTATGCAACAGAGTAAATAAACTGCAGTGTGCCTCTTACGAGTATTGCAGGAATGCAGTTGGTCAGGGGCTCTGACAGATAAAGGAATTTTAAAGAGCTAGGCAGAGTTAGATTTCAAAATAAAATTGTATAGAGTTATCCAATGCCAAAATAAAATAGCAAGATTCAAACCTTCCAAAATCTACTACACAAGACAAATAACAGTGTACACAGGAGTATGGAAAGTGGCGTTTTCCAAAAATTGTATGGGTGGATGGCATACACACTCGAGTCGATTAGTGGATCTGAAGAACGATTGATTAAATTTTTAGATAGGTTATCCGACGTTCAATTACAAAGCAATCGTATCTTCTTTACAGAAGTTACGAATAGACACACTAGAATGCATATTTACATTCATTGAAAAATTTGGTTTTAAATACAGGTGACTTATGAGTAAAATAGTTCAGTATGCGCTAAAAAAAACTTGTAATAGTTTCATCCTGGTGTTTTAAATTAGTTTTCTGAGCTTGATCATCGTATTCAAGACCATATTTGTTTCGGTATGTTCAGAAAGATTGTATCTTGTTTCTAAGCCACCTATTTGTTTGTCCCAAAGTTCAGTTAGTTTAATGTCTTCTGTGAAGAGTATGTATTATTTCAAACGTCTTCACGTTCTGGAAAATGTGCATGTATGTATTTATAACATTCCTTTGTATCAATGATATCACAGATCAAACATTCAACGGGCGAACACTGACCCTACTTCTTCAGTCATAATGCCAAAACAGCCCAGGTGTCGTGAACCCCGTCGCCAGGCGTCATATAATGCAGCAGTGTCTATAGTGGTATCTACCTGTTCAGGTAGTACTTTGAGGGCTGGTTAAGTGTTATTTTATGTTTGTAGAATATTTAGTTTTTGGATGTACCATGTAAACTACTGGATGCTAATGTAGCGTGAGTTGTTAATATATACTATTTAAAATGACCTGCTACACATGCAGGCGTACATTCAATTGACATCACATAAACATTATTTTCGTGTAAACTGACTTCGCTTCTTTGAAAGAGGTTGATGTATCAGGGCCACGAGATAAATAGATTTTAATGTTAGTTAGAGACTTTGTATAATACGCGAAAGCTATTTCTTGCATGACTGCTAGTCGGCCTGATTAGAGCATAAAAAGTATGCTGTTACATTTCAATGTTTGTTTACAATCTTTTTTTTTCCGTGATTATAGTTAATACTAATAAAACAAAAATGACATAATGTTAGTACTTGCTTTTGTTGCAAAAAATTCGATTAGGTATTGGGATGTAGAAGTTCGTTTTCGAAACATGAGTTTCATACCTTTGTAAGTATTGAACCAAATGTGAGGTTTATAAAGAAATTTATGTCAGTTCATAAAAGCAAAATCTATAGCATCGTTATCCTTGATTGGCAATACAGTAAAAACGTGTGCTAACATTAACATTGTATTAATTCACAACAATGTCCCCCGGTGGGACTGCGGTAAGTTTACGGATTTGCAACGCTAAATTCCAGGTTTCGATTCTTCGCGGTTGATAAAGCAGACAGCCCAATATGTCTTTGCCCGAAGAGAAACAAACAAACAAACACACACACACAAAATTAATTCCTCAAACACAGGTTCGTGTGAACTTTAACACAATTGTTATAGCGGTATAAACATGATACATGGTTTTTAATTCTAAGTTGTGTTTATTTGTTATGGTTTACAGATTGTATAAAATTAAACACAAAGATTGCACAACAGCCAACACATCTGTTTTGTTATCCCACAGTGATTGTGTTGTTTTTAACTTGAACTTGTGTTGTAGTTAATCAAACACTACACTTGAGTTTCAACATGTGCTTTACATTGTAGTACTAATTCTTAAAGATATCCAATGGTGCGCATATCTTCACGAGTGTCCACAATTTTTGGTACTTTCCGATTACATTTGAACTGTTAGAGCTTGTGCCCTACCAATTTGTATTGTATATATGATGAGAAAATATTCAATCAGACTTGTAGTATTTGTTATCTATGCTGCATTAACCCTATTGGTGGTTCCGTAATATATGCCTGTCAGCAATTATATACTTGACAAAACATTGATCTAAAATTACACCAGCTAAAATAATAAATAACAACAGCTCGGCACTTCGATAATAACCGGTAGTTATTCTCAAAGGTTTGACAAATGGTAGTAATTACTTGAATACATAACTTTGAACAGCGTCATTTGTTGGCTTGTACTTAAATGGTAGTAAAAGCTTGTACAGTTAAGCAAGGGGTGTCACCGGTATTTCTCTTAACAAGAGTTAGACCTGATTTGCTATATGCAATCCTTCTAAAAATCCCTTGCAAATTTAATTGTGTAATGTTTAAAATTTTGTAATTTTCCCAATCAGTAATACTTGTTTACCAAAGCAGACTCTAAACTGTTTCTATTTTATTGTGGCTCATTTTAATTTTGGGTAGTTTCCATTGTATGTTTAATATTATAATATTCATAAGCAATTTGAGTTCTGTTTTTCAAAGAGGTATCTTACCTTTAGAACAAGGCTTAAAAGAAACACCAATATCTATATAATAAGAAA